AGAAGTTTAAAGAATGATGAAAAAAATTGGCCTTTCACTTTTGACAGTGAACAAGTAGAATTTAGGTGATAGGTAGGTAATTTATCTTTGGTAGGCGATTGAAGGTATTACGTACCTATGTGGATAGAGCGTGCGGTAATAATATTATCGCATGCCGTGCGGTAGAGTGCACTTCACCGCACTCATTTGCGTGTCGTAGTGCTGAATAGTTACTTTACCTACGAGCGTGCGGTAAAGTGCACTTTACCGCACTTATTTGGAAATGGAAAGTAGCACTCTACCGCGCACTATGCCGTAAAGTTACTTTACCGCATAGTATGCGGTAAAGTGGACTGCAAGTGTGCGGTAAAGTTAACTTTACCGCATAGTATGCGGTAAAGTAGATTTTGGTATTTATGATGAAAAATCCTTTTTTTTCTTCAGAAAATGGATTTTTGATCATTTCTAAATCTAATCTAATTTCATTAATTAATCTGATTCATTAATTAATTTTATTAATGCCTTTTTTTGGAGATGTTAGATGCTCATAGGTAAAATTTTGTACCCACCACATGCGGAAAGTGCCTTTACTGCCCTTAAGGGCTTGACCGAACTCCGCTTCGCGTCGTTCGGTCAACTGCGCGCGGTAAAGTATCACTTTATGCATCTGTTAGGTAAATAACTATTACCGCATAGTGTGCAGTAAAGTAGACTTTGGTATTTATAATCGAAAATCCCTTGTTTTCCAGAAAAGAGATTTTTTGTCATTTTTAAATCTAATTCAATTTCATTAATTAATCTAATTCATTAAATAATTTAATTGATGCCATTTTTTTGGGGGGTGTATATGCTCATAGGTAAAATTTTGTACCTAATACATGCGGAAAGTGCCTCTGCCGCCCTCAACGGCTTGACCGAACTTCGATTCGCGACATTCAATCAGTGCCACTTTCTATTCACAAATAAGTGCGGTAAAGGTGTTTACCGCACGTTCGTAGGTAATAGTTATTTATATCACAAGTGCGGTATGAGCTTGATTTATTACAGTAACGAGTGGTAATCACACGAGTGGTGTAATGAGCGTTACCGTACGTGTGATATACAGCATTTTATGTACGACGCAGATTTTTTTGTATGTATTCCAAATTGGTTTTATTTTCCACAAAATATTAAATTTATAACTTTTCCGAATAAATTAATTTTAAAAAGTGCCGTTTTTCAATGAAAATGAGTTACGTAATGAGCGCATTACATCACAACAGTGCCGGCTTTACCTGATTTACCGCCGGGTGCAATTCAAATCCCACCGCCTCAAGGTTCCTAGTTTTTGAAGTTAAAAATACATACATGGGTATGGTACACTGATAAACTAACAAAATTAAGTAAAAATTCAAAATATCGCAAATAAACTCAAGAAAAATAAGAACAAAGTAAAAAAGAGTGATATATTAGACGAACTTCAAGCTAAAGTGAGAAAAGTTTGGGGAGGCTTATTGAGAAAAACTAATTTCCTAGATTTTGATTAGGGGAAAAAAAAAAATTTGGGTCGATACATACTTTTTTCAAATGTCTATTTTTTCACAGATACAGATGAGTAGCAGTCTCTATGTGAAAATAATGTACATTTTTTTTAAAGCAATTAACACCACGCAACCCATATCATATCCCTAAAACCCAACATTTTTTTCAAATTTTATGCTAAGGCCCGGTTTATTCACCTTCAAATAAACTTGTTAGTAACTATCTGCAAGATACATTTACCTTTCTATAATTCGATTGGTCGGCGAATAACCGGCCGACCAGGGGCCCGATTCTCGTCTCAGAGAGAGGAGAGCTCCCAAAACAACAAATTTTTTCGTCTTTATCATTCTCGTTCACTTTTCGATTACGCTGACAAGAACAAAAAATTCGTTCGATCGAGGAGCTCTCCTTTCTCTGAGACGAGAATAGGGCCCCAGTGAGATTACAGATTGCGTTTTCATCCGTCAGATCGCATACCTGACAGTTTATCAGGAGGTGAATAAACCGGCAGTAAAGAGTGTTATTTATTAATCTGATTTGAATTCGCTCTTACTTTCTTTAGACGCACCTACAGGCCTTAATAAACAGAACATCTAGACGCTGAGTCTTTTCCAAGATTTTATTAAGTTTCTCCCTTTTTTTTTAAATTTTTGTCATTTCGAAAAAGCACTGCCACCTTTCGTTTTTGCTCATTTTATCAGCTTGAACAGTTAGAAAATAAATATAAATACTGTCACGGATTCCGGGTTCACTAAAACTCACTTCACAAATAGTAACAACCAACCTTTATTAAACTAATGGACTTTTTACAAAATTCACACACGCTCTATTTATACAGTCGAAATTGCACTCGAGATTTAGCCAGAAAACATCGAATCGAATATAATAGAATTCTAGATAAAAGCACACTGGTCAACGTGAACAAGCGACGAATTCAATATCTTGGAGTCCCGGCACCGCGATGTCAATGCATTATCGTAACACTGCCTCCCTTCTTAATCATCGTCCTGATCTGACTTTGACTACCAAGACGCACCACGTCCTCTTCTTCATCTATATCTGCACTCAGATCCATAATGACTCAATCTTTTCTCTTGCCTAACATCACTATGCCTGTCTAAGTGGACTGCAACCACGCAGCGCCTTATCCGCTCAGCCATCCTGACTTTCCACATCTTATCCTCATGTATGCCTGGCTCTTCTTTCCTTGAATTGACGTCATGGATACTAGATAAATTGAAACTTTTCCGTATTTATGTTGATGCTTCCGGATAGGCCAAATTAACCAGACGGCGGATGTCGGTTTCAAATTCTTGTAAGCTTGTTGCTTTTTGTTGCCTTGTTCTTAGTTTTACCTGGTAAAGCTAAAGCTGCCTTCTGAGTACCGTTCGATTTTTTTTGATTTCTATTTTGATTAATTTTCTCAATTTACCGCCTCTTAAATTTTGCCGCCGGGTGCAGTTAGCTCCTCTGCACCCCCCTAAGGCCGGCGCTGCATCACAAGTGATTTATATTACATCACTAGTGATGTAATGAGCTGATTACATCACTAAGTACGATAATACAACTTATTACGTAACTCAAACACTCAAACAGGCTTAAATGAGTTACGTAATAAGCTCTTACAGTGTGGGTCGTACATAAAAATTCTTTACCGCAGTGCTGTAATAGTATATTATAAAACAAGTGTGGTATTTAGGTTATTACCGCACACGGGAGAAATTTGCCAACCGAGCCGGTGAGGCGAGCTTTGCAATTTCTAAGGGCGGACATAATCTAATTACCATACGAATTATATACAGTATTTTATCTACAACCGTGCGGTAGCAAAATATCCGATAGAAGTTTGGAAAATTATAGAAAATTAAATTGCTTCTGGCACATTAATTTGACAGTGGACGGGTAGAACTTAGGTGATAGGTAGGTAATTGAAGGCATGCAGTAATAATATTACCACACGCTATTACAGCACGCCATGCGGTAATAAAATTACCACACGTCGTGCGGTTATATGGTACATACCGCACGCAAAATCGTGTGATATACCTTAGTTACCGCACGCTCGTAGATGAAACTTCTTTACCGCACTCTTTTAAAAATACGTTTGATATTGTTCATATTATTTATTAATGTACACTAAGTGCGGTAGAAATTCGTAGGAAAAATTTTGTTCCCAACATGTGCGCAAAGTGTCTTCCTCGTCCAAAAACTTATCCGAACTCCGCTTGATAACTATCTCAGCATCAATAATGACAATAACAATGATATTACTGATGCTCATCCATCAAATTAAAAAAAAAAACTCAATGGAGATAAATTCTGCGGAATCCATGAGGTAAATTTACTAGGTCACAGAAATATCAGATTTTTTTATTAAAAAAAAAAACATGCTTTACCCATTTATCGTTTCTTTAGAGCCGGCTTATTCACCTTCTGATAAGCTGTCAGGTTATGTAGTCTGACGGATAAAAACACAATTTGTCAAAAAACTACGACATTTTCACACTCATTTCTGTGCGAAATATCTCAAATTGGTTTTATTTACCTTAGCGACGTGCACGCAATACTTTGCGCACTAGAGCACGAAATACTTCGTGCACTCCAATGCACGTATTACATCTGTGTATTTTTCCGTGTATTTATTCATGTAGTTCAGGGTGACAATGGAAAAATACACAGATGTAATACGGGCACAACAGTGGTTATAATACCTATTTTAGTAGTTCAATGTGCTTCAAAAATACTCAAATTGAAGGAAATTGAACGACAAAGTGTGTAATAAAAATTAACTAGCGTAAACCCGGGGTGCGCTACTACGCTAAAAAATAATTACATTTTGTTATTTTTAGTTTTTTCCATTTACTTCAAATTATTTGATATAATAAACGCGATAATCACAAATGATAAAACCAAATAAATCCTCCTACGCCTTTGGTTATCTTATGATTTGAATATGGCTACCGTGCGCCAATTAACTTTAGGATAAATAATTTGGGGCGAAGCCAGCCGAGCGACGGAAAGTGGCCGGCAGCTAGCGGTGTTGCCAAATTGTGTGAAAGTGTAACTCGTGAACTACAAATGGCGCTGCGATCGAATCTCAATTATGCGGGAGGTACCCAGGCCTCTTAATGGCAAATAATTTTGTATTTGGTGGAACCATACCACAGTACATATAAAAATAAAAATAAAATTTGGAGGCTAGGCCAACAACTTTTTTTTTTTAATTTAAGTTTAAATGGCGAGTTTTGAGATTCAAAAAAAGCTATAAAAATCAAATCAAGAAAAAAAACCCGTGGGGTCAAGGATGAGTTTTTATGGCTGAAGAGTTAGCAAATGGCCCCCTCTTTCGGGCAGTTAAATTTGGCAAACGATGCACCAAACACCCTGTATAATAATATATGACAGATACCTGACAGAAATTTCGACTAACGAAAAATAGCCAATTGGTAATTGGAAAAAAATGCATAAAAATGATGAATATGTAATATGTGAAATCTTACCACCTTGGCAGTTTTCCAGAATCCACCGTTGGTTGCTAAGGAGTATAGGACCGTACCGGTTCCCTTAGGTCTTCATTCTTTGCGCTTTTTTTTTGGTGTTTCCTTTTCATTGGTTCTAGAAACCTGTGAGCCATCAACATCCAAATGGTGGTCGTTTGGCAACGATGGATACACTTTAGCCGTTTTAAGTAGTTTAGCTAAAAGTGAAAAAGTTGATATCGTAAAAAATGTAATATCACCCTCCCTTGAGACCGGCACGTTCAGGCAAAAGATAGTAGACCGGGAGCTCATAACACAAAAAAGTTAGTCATTTGTGAAAAGTATGGCGACCCCTTCGAATTACGTAATGAAGAAAAGAAAAAAGATGATAACTCTCTTGCCGTTGGAGCCTGATTGCATGGCGATTAATCAAACTTGTCAGATAAATTGCGGGTTTCAAACGCTTTGTAACACGAAGATTCTTGTATTTTCCGATAGTTTATGAAAAAATAACTAGTCGGAAGCGAAATGTTCATCCTTATCCGGTGGGGTTTATTGCCCGGCATACCAACATTTGTAACAAGCTATTCTTTTTTTCAACTGATTATCTTTGAGGAGTCATTCACGAAAATTACCGTGCCATACCGTTCTGATGGTTCCAAGTAACCGCCATACCGCCCCAAAGACGTAGATTTCTTTGATAATGCTGCTGAACGATTTGTAAAAGTATAGCATTAGTTTTTTCGGAAGTTCATGATACAATGGGACCGTTTATATATTTGCCATAGGTACTTATAATTAAGTGCAAAAGTGGTACCATTCTTAAAAAACTGGTTTTCTGCAACGTCTTCCAGCTACAACTGATACAAGATGTAGAATTATTTATCACAGTATAGTCTTCTTCTTCTTCTTCCTGGCCCCTTGTCAAACAACAATTACAGTATAGTATGGCATCATTGTATTCAGTTTGTTTCTATACGATTCTACCTGAAAACAATTATCCCATACTCATACCATGGCGTTGAAGACTGTCACACTTGCGCTAAGTAGGATGAGACCAAAAAAATAATGACGAAACAAATTGTTACAATATGGCATTTAAATTTTTCGAAAGTTTACAAGGGAATATACTTCGGAAAAATTATGCCATACTCATCGTGAAATCTGAAAGTTGTGCCATACTTGAAGAAGTGGTTTTCTGGAACGTTTTTCAGCTACAACTTCTACAGGTCGTCGAAGTTCCCATTACAGTATGGCAAAGTAATATTTTTTTATACTGTGTGCATTGACATGAAACAAAGTAACATGAAACTTGCTTCAGTTTACAAGTCTCATGAAACCTATTTCTCCAGTGTGTCACCTGCCTAATGAGTCCGGCGGTACGGTCACAATCCAGGGAAGACTGCTGCGGGAGCCGTAGAATATTATACAATTAGGTATAAGATTGCCACTACCATATATGTTTGAAACTTGATATTTAGATTGTTTGTATCTTGAACATTCAGAAAAAAATCGTGCCAGACTGTTACAGATAATTAAAACTCCTCATATAATCTTACATTTTTTTATTAATATTGTCCGTATTTGACCCATACCACGGGAAACGCGTAGTCTCATTTTTATTTCTAATCACAGTTTACTGGTTATTGTCAGTTTGAACAGTATACAACAATATACGCTCCCAGCTAATTGAATAGTCTCCTAATTGTGATTAACATCATACAATAAGTCCCACCGGAAAAGTATGGCTAATTTCCGACTAGTTTTTTTTCCATAAACTATCGGAAAATACAAGAATCTTCGTGTTACAAAGCCTTTGAAATTCGGAATTTATCTGAGAAGTTTGATTAATCGCCATGCGATAAGACCCCAACGGCAAGAAAGTTATCATCTTTTTCGTTTTCCTCACTACGTAATTCGACCTATAGGGGGTCTCCATACCTGTCACAAATGACTAACTTTTTTGTGTTATGAGCTCCCAGTCAATAGGTACGACTAGGTTGAACTGGTGACCGCGGAGTGCATGGGCTCAAAAGTATAAGGATTTTTTAGCGACTAACCGTTTGTAACCGTGTTATAAACGGTAACTAAAAGTACATCATATTTTCAATTACCGTTTATAACACGGTTACAAACGGTTAGTCGCTAAAAAATCCTTTATGAAATGAAAAACAAAAATGCTTGCTAATCATTTTGAATAAATACTTAGTATAAAATAAATCTTTTATTTCGCCTGAAAAATGTATTTCAGTACATAGCTAATGCTCAAATTAGTTTTTGTTATTTTCCAGAAAGTAATAGAGTCATTCTTGGGACTATCAAGCATTCTAAAAGCTGGTTTTACCATTATTATTTGTTGATAGTTGTCTACTGTGAGCGAAAAAAAACTTTATAAATGGGCCGTTTGTGTTTCTCCGCATTTTGTTTCCACGTGTAGCCTCCTTTCCTACGATGTGACCTTCATCCTTCTGCAAATCCTCTAGGAATACATCAATTTGAATGTTTCAAGTTAAAGGTCGGTAGTAATGAGCCAAAGAGGGTTACTACGGCATCAAGCACATTGTCTATTTTGCTGAAATTTGTTCTGTAAGTGCAAAAACTTACATCAGAATTGGCTCAAACACTCTCTGATTGATTATCCATGCTCCGTTTATTTTACTTTTTATTTTTGCCTTTTTTTCTGTGAAAGTGCATTGTTAGTGGAAGCGAAGCCGGAATCACAAAAACTCAAGTGTCGAGCTAACATCAAAACTATTAAAATCGATTGAAGGCTGCAATGGGGATCTCATTCAGATTGATTCTGCTTCTTTTCGTAGTGCTCTAGGTTGATTTCCACTAAGTGTCAGGATACACTTGTCAGGGTAATATAGCAGACACATATAGAAAGGATACGGAATAATTTTAATGCAGAAATATTTCATACGGATGGTTTTTGATCTTATCCATGGTGAAGATAATATCTTGACATTTTTACTGCAGCTGGGAATGTATTTCTTTAGAGGTAAGACATTTCCTACTAATAATCAGGTTGAATATTGATATAACACCATGAGTCAGTTCAAACTTGTACCTCCACCTCATCAAACACCAAGATTGTAGAGATTTTTTTTTCTTAATAGGTTGGATAAGCTTCCGCTTTTTCAACGCCTTGATTGACGGCATAAAGCTGTCACAGAGTTAGAAGAGTCTCAATCAACTGTTATGGTCTGGATACACGTTTCGTAGGTATAGTTTCAATAAGTGTTTTAGGTTAGCTCTTTTCTGTATTGTATTTTGGTGATCGGTTATTGATTTTTGCAAGAAACTCACAAACACAAAAATATAAGTTATAGTCTTACTCCGCTAATTTTTTCTTCCTTATCAGGCTTTCAGCCGAAAGAGCCAGGCCTAAACCAAGGCTACCTCTGTATCAACTTCCCCTGGATCTCAAAACAATAGATGTATTGCCCAGAATTTCGGCCATTCCAGAAAATTTATCATAGACATTGACAATTCCAGCTTTTTAGTATATGAGGTTAATTTTTATGTACAGCGAGAATCATTGCAATTGGCACACACTATATAAACATCCCCCGTAATGTGTCAAAATTTCACTCCTTTGACACACAGGTAATGTCAAAATCGTGTCAGATTGATAAGTCAGTAGTGAACATAATAGTTTTAATAAACTGTTGAAGGAAAAAAATATTTGTACACCGCTGGCTAAATGAATTTATTGGGTAGAATTTTGACTTGATACGAAGGATGTTAAAAGAGTATACTAATATTAGTAGCATGAGAGCAGAGCACCAATACGGTCAAAATGTATTTAAAATATTTTTATTTGTCACTCATTTGTAAAACGTCACTTATCAAGTCAAAACATAAACAACAAAAATTGATTTTTACAAGCTATTGGCTCTATTGACAGCCAATGTGTAAAAACTTTTTACAAGTCAGTAGAATTACCTATTTATTTTTAAAAAATCAGTTTTATCACAAGAATAATTGTTTGTAGGTACCTTCTGGAAGACTTTTCTGGTGATAAACTGTTAGCTACCACTGCAAATTTATTAATAATATTTTCTAGCATATTCATTTCTTGAAAAAAATTGCGAAATGCAAATTTGACAGAAAACCTATTTATTACTAGAAACAATGACTTAACGTCTCGTTCTCATAGTTATACCAAACTACCAAAGCTTGTATGAAAAAAAATCAAGGAAACAAATATGAATTTCAAAATTTTGTTATGTATACATTTTTGATTGACCCTTTATCTTTTACAAATGAGTAACAAATAAATTATTGTACATTATACGCCAGGTAACAGTTTTTACTGGCTCTTGAAGGTGACAAGCTCGCCCTACGGTTCGCTAGTAAAAACTGTTTTACCGGGCTAATGATGTAAACTACTATTTCGCTACTCAATTTTGAATGACGGTGTCGGCGTGCGAGTAACTATGTTGTATCTATGTAATATCGATCGCCCAATACTTCACTTGTCTGTACAACTGTCCACCAATAAAAGCAATTTCAATGTTTTTAGTAGCATTTTTATTTGCATCGAACCTTTGTCCCTTAGACAAAACGGGTAGATTTTTCTGGATGCAACCAACAGTCCTCTTTTCATTTTGTAAAGCATCTTCAAGAACTAGCTATTAACCCTCTTAGTCAGAGAACGAGGGAACGACCACCTAAAAAAAAAAATATTCTTATGTACATTGGACTGGCGGATCCGATTCTGAAGTCCGCTAGTCAATCTGGAATTGCGAAACTGGTCAGAGCCCGCATTTTCCGAAAAAGCGTAAAAAACTTAAATGATTTTATGGATTTTTTTAAAATTTTTACTTATCTCCTTTAGTTTTAGTCCGATTAAATTGAAATTTTTGGGAGATCCAATTTAGACCTTTGTTATCATGACTGACATAACAGAAATGCGAAAAAAGAATTACGAGTCACAATAATATATTTTTTTTAAGTTGGTGACACGAAAATTGTTAAAATTGCAGTCAGAAACACTCGATCGATAAAACTTTTCTGTTTTTGGAGATATGTAGATGTATACAATAAACTGGTGGACAGTTGCTTTGCAACATGGAAAATTTTACCCAAATTCAAATCTCGATATTTTCGAAACGGAAAGAGATATCGATTTATATCAATTTATGATCTTGGAAATTTTTCTATCCATGTTTTTGATCTTTGGACTATTCTAAAAAAAGTAATTTCTCAAATT